CTCAGTTATGATGAGTCCAGAGAGTTTCTAGTAATGGGTGGGCGACAACTGAGGTCTCTACAAGGGTATAGTCTTGAAACCATAAAGCAAAACTCAGAGATCACCCAAATTTTATTATAGTCTTTAACTCTGCAGTAAAAGAAGAAAATAGAAAACGTGCCCATGAAACCATTTAAACCCTAAATTCATTTCATCAAATGGTTATGGTTTATGCATCATTTTAAAAACTATATAAAATGACAAAGTCTTTATTAATCCAGTGAAGGCAAATCAAAATTGCATAGGTACTTCGAATCATTATAAGCAATTTAAATTTGTAATGCAAAAAAAAAAATCAGTTCAGAAATTTTGTGCTATATAGTACTGATGTACTTTTTGTTGAAGTTGTGGTGGTTGGATATTATTGTTGAACTATTTATGTTATTGTTATGAGAACTATATCCCATCCTAAGTTATTTTCCTCTTCATCTTTTTATATAAGGGTGATTTTATAACTAAAAAAATTATTTGTAATTAAGATTTGCAGTACTACACCTAATGCAGAACTTGTACTTTTTGTCTTATTACAAAGTGTACATGTGCTTTACACATAACAATTTCTTCAAAAAATTATCATGATACTTAATAATATATTTTCAAAATTTTTTACATTTTTTTATTTCTATGTTTATAAAAATTAATTTTTATTTGTCACACTTATTTTTATTTAATACAATGAATATATGATGTTAGAAATGTTCCCAAATGTTTTCTATCTATCTATCTCTCTCTCTCTCTCTMTATATATATATTTGTATTTTATATACTTTTGTGTTTTTTATCTTTTATAATTTTTATTATTATTTAGCTATGACATCAAGGGTTAGCACATTTGACCCAAAAGGTTGAATTGTTGATTCACCACCAAATAGGAAAACAAAAACAATTAATTTCTCACACTTATTTTTATTTAGTATGGTTAATTAATATAGGATTCAATAAAAGAATGGGAGTTAATACTATAAATATAAGACTTAATGAAAGGGAATTGAATGAGAAAAACCACAGTAGTTTAACTTACATTTCATGCCCTCACAATTAGAGAATGACCAAATTCAAAAATAGTGGTCAATGCCAAAAAAATCTAAAAATAGTGGGATTCCGATCAAGAAAAGGATTCAATAAATGCTAATGGGAGTTAATACATACCATAAGTATAAGACTTGATGAGAATGATTTGAATGAGGAGAAAAGTGGTTGTTTAAATTGCATTTCTGTCCTTACAATTAGATAGAGATCGAATTCAAAAATTAGAGTATTTTAATCAAACAAAAGTTTCACACTCTCATTCACACTTTTAATGATAACTAGTAAGCATGCACGTGGCAACTCTAGATGATGATAATGATAATAATAATATATCCAAAAATTTCTATAAACTTTTATGATTTTTTTTGTTTTTATATATTTTATATTTTTTTATCATTAATCGGATGTAATTGCAAAATCCAAATCTGATTACATAAACACATCATCCAAATATGTAATAATCGGATTGAGTTGTAAAGTTTCAGGTATCATTGACAAGTCTATCTGTTTGGTAGGGATGTAAACGGATTGGATCAAATCTAAATTAGGGTATCCAAATCTGATCCAATATTATTAACAGTAGATCGGATTGCATCTCATAAACATGGAATATGAATCCGATGAGGAAGTCGGATATTTGGATCTAATCCGTTCCAATTTAATTTAAAAAATAATAAAATATTAAAAGAAATATAAAATATAATAATTTAAATAAAGAAAAACAAAAAATACATGTATATTTTCAACTATTTTCATCATCATATATAATTTTTTATAAAACAATAAATAATATAACAAATTTACAAAAATGCAATATAAATAAATATATAACACATATATATTCTAGTTTTTTTATTGGATCCTATTATCTGACCCGATCCAATCCAAAGATCCGGGCTGGGGATACCTGAATTCACCAAAAAGGATCAACTCGGATCATGATCCGACCCATTTGCACCCCTACTGTTTGGCTAGATTCTTCATTTTATAATTTTTTTGTGTATCTTTTTTTTGTTCATTTATAAAAAAAAAAGTAAGATTTAAATAGAGTGAATTGAATGTGGTGAAAAGTATTAGTTCAATTTATAAATTAAACATCACAATTAAATAAGGGCTAAATTCAAAAATGAGTATTTTAGTCAAAAGAAAATTCTACAATTTTATTCAAATTTTTAATAGTAATGTAAATATAGAATTATAGATGTGTTCAACTTTTTACTATTTTTTTGTATTTTTTGTGTGTAAAACTAATTATGATATTTTACACTTACTTTTTGTTTAATATGACAAATATATGATATTATACATGTGTCTGAAAGCCTTTTTTTTGCAAAATATATGTATTTTTTATTTTTGTATTTTTATATTTTATTAATTTTTATTATTTATTTATGACATTAAAGTTTAATACATTTAACCCAAAAGTTGAACTATTTATTATTAATTTTTATATTTCCTTTTTTGCCAATTCTAAATTATGTATTTCAATTTCATTATGAATAAAACTAATTTGGTTACATAAATGTGACTAATTTTTTTACACTATTTGTAATTTTCTATATTTATTTCTATTTTAAAATTTTATTATCTAACTATGATTTTGTTGATTGATCAATTTGACTCGGATGGTTGAATTGCTTAACCACAACTTAGATAAAGAATGATTTTATTTTTGGTCAATTTTAAATATATGGATTTATACTATTAAAAATATTGACATAGATCTAATTAGTAGCATTTATTAGTGAAAAATAACTTAAAAAGATAGGATTTAATAAGAGAAAATGGGATTTAATATCTTAAGTATAAGACTTAATTAGATGAGATTAAATGAGGTGAAAAGTAATAATTGAATTTACATTTTCAACCCTTGCAATTAGAGATGAATTAAATATACAAATATGGGCATTTTAATAGACATTAAAGTTGACATTGAATCTATAAACATATAATAAAGTGACTTTTATACCCTTACTCAAACAAAGAAATAGAAGATAATTTTAGTCCAAAAAAACTTCCACGCCACATTCACAATTTTATATATTATATAGATTTAGATATTTGCACTTATTAATAGTGCAAATTCTGCATCTAAAATATTGATGCAAAATTTTCATCACTTGCCTCCTACCTCAATTCTCTCTCATATGAAGTGGGTCCAAGACTACATCATCTTGCTTCCAATATCAGCCTTTTTTTTTCATTGGAACTTTTTCATACAAGGTTGGGACGACGTCACTTTACTTCCTACCTTAATACTTACTAATAATAATTAATAAGAGAGTCAAATTTAAATCAAAAGCAAACCAAATTAATCTTGTTTGCATTCCAAACAAGTTGAGACTTTTGCAGTTTTTTTTTTTTTTGAACTTCATGGAGCTATGCAACAGTGGTAGCCCATCTCCCTGTTTTCTATCTTCACAAAAGAAAAAAAAGGGAAGTAGAGAAAATAAGAAAAAAGGAAAGAAGAGAAAATAATCTAGGTTACTAGCATACTATACATTTGTAATGGCCAAAAGTCGAGATCAAATCAGCCCCCCATAGCACATCCCCTCATGTACTGGGAATATCTCTCGATGATAATACCATAAATGATGATATCATCATGGGAGATGTTCCCAATACATGGCAGAGATGTGATGTAAGACGTGGGGGAACTGATTTGAACTCCCAAAAGTCTATTCGTTGTTGATACTAACTGATGGTGTCAACATATGGAGCTAATGTAGTGGATCTTTTGCTCCTATTTAGGTATAATTTTCATAAATTAAGTTACTTAATTAATTCATATTATCTCCCACTAATTCTTATTATATTCCATTTTCTCTCGTATATTTAAATCATATAAATCAAAACACACTTCTCAATTACATAATTGGATTTTTGACTCTGACAACCATTGAACTTTTCAACAAAGCCACTTTAGACCCAAAATTTTGAAAATGGCCATTTTCACCTTCAAACGATGATGGAAAGGCCACTTTAAGGCAGAAAGGGACGATATTAGAGACATGTTAGTTGTTTTGTTAGACAAATAATAAAATAATAAGGCCTATTAATATAGCACTGCTCAAATAAAAAAAAAATAGGAAATTATATATGGATCTCACTTAAAATTCTCACTTTGTTCACACATGACCAAGAATGAAGCCCTAGAGAGCTAAGACCTTCATTGAGTAAAGGCTCTTTTTACTTAATTCTCTCTTAATCCATGTTTATGAGTTTAATCATCTTTTTACCCATTTGCATAACCCAAAGAAATCCCTATACAATGCAGACAATTGTGTCACTCTGAGTGCTGCCTTTGCTTTTTTTTTTTCTGTATTTTGTCTGGGTCTGGCTGGCCCATCCCTTTCTAGCCATGTGAAGGGAACATTTTATCAAAACCAAAACAGTCCACTTTACAGAAAAACCATTGTAACCTCCACAGATATACTATTATCATTGCCCCACCTTTCTACCATTCAACCCTCAATAATAAATGCATAAACTTCCAACTCCCACAACAAAACAAATGCACAAAATATACTTTCACCTCACTTTAACACATTTTAGGCCCAAAGTTTTTCAACAAAATCTCCATAAAACCCAAATGTCGTTTTCTTTGGATGATACAATTCAACACATTGCAGACTTGGTGGTCTAAAAATTCCGTTAAATGATCCTTTTAGCTCAACCATAAACCTCCACCCCTTATCCAAACCATTCCAAGTAGAAACCAATCAAATTTCTCAATCCAAACCCTTCAATTGTATTCTAAATGCTACATCTACTTAAACACTCCAAATGGGCCCTAGGTTCATTGAACCTGCTTTGAGCTCCAAGTGGTGCAACCTCAGCCCATAAGTTAGGCCCACCAGAAACTCAAACCACCACCACACCAGTTTAGACAAGGAAACCACACCCACACCTCACATTCCAAAAATCCCAAGTAAAGAGCAAATGAAAGCAACCCATTTCATTCCAAATCTCAAAGTCTCTTTTATGTACAAAATGCACCCAATACCCTTCACTCGAATCCGTACCCGAACCGTTTATGAATCATAAAACACAAATTACTTACAATCTCTCTCTCTCTCCCTACCTCTTTGAATGAAAGATGGAAGTGGAACAAAACAATCCGTAATAGAGAGAGCTAGGGTGGTTGATTGTTAGCGTTGGTGTTGCCGTTACCGTTACCGTCACCTTGCCAGGACCAAACTATGTCTTTTAACGCTGGCCTAACGTCCTCTTCACAGAATTTGGCGTATTCTAGCGTATCTCCGGCGGACTTTGAGAACTCGACGATGGCAACCTGCGGCGCCACCTCGAACACCTCCGCCGTCACCGACAGTTTCCCTTTACGCCCTTCGACGCTTCCCTGCATCTTCGCCTTGAAATCCTTCACCTTCACGAACCCGAAACTCAGCCCCTTCGCCACCAGCTCGAGCCTCGCCATGATTGCCGAGGCTGAGCATTTCGACGTGAATATCGACCTAGCTTTCCTCTTGCTCTCGAACAGACTCGAGAGGTCGAACCCAGATGACATCGAGGAAATAAACTCGAACGCGTTAAAGAAAGGCGGAGACGATTTCGACTTCATGACAGGGTCGTCTTCCTCTGTCTTCTCCGGCAACGGTTCCTCTATGGAGAACGCGATTGGTCGAGTGAAGCCTTTTCTGAACCAGGGCATTTGCATTATCTCCGAAACCGTAATCCGCTTATCGGGGTCGGCAACCAGGAGACTCGAGATCAACTGCTTGGCCTCGTGGGAAAACCAGGGCGGGAACTCATATTCCGCCCGGAAAACTTTCCGGTACATTTTCATTATACTCTCGTCCTGGAAAGGGAGGAAACCAGCCAGAAGAACATACAGAATTACCCCACAAGACCAGAGATCGGCCTTTGAGCCGTCGTAGCCTTTTTTCCTCAGAACCTCGGGAGCCACATAGGCCGGAGTCCCACACTGCGTGTGAAGGAGCCCGTCGTTGCGCAGTTGCTCCGGAAGAGCAGACAGACCGAAATCCGATATCTTGAGGTTCTCGTTCTCATCGAGAAGGAGATTCTCAGGCTTCAGATCACGGTGAGAGACGCCCCTACTGTGGCAGAAATCAACTGCGCTGATCAACTGCTGGAAATACTTGCGGGCGTCGTCCTCCTGGAGTTTCCCCTTGTAGACCTTTCCGAAGAGCTCACCGCCTCTAACGAACTCCATGGCGAAGAAGATCTTGGTCTTGGTGGCCATGACTTCTTTGAGCTCGACGACATTGGGGTGGAGAACGAGGCGCATGACGGAGATCTCCCGCTTGATCTGCTCCATGAGTCCTTCCTTCTTGACCTGGTCCTTATTGATCACCTTGATGGCGACGTTCTCCCCGGTATGGAGATGCTTCCCGTAGTAGACCTTGGCAAAGGTGCCTTGCCCCAACAACCTCCCCATCTCATACTTGCCGAACAGAAGACTCCTCGTTCCATTACTCTTCTCCATTTGAGTTCAGAAGGGTCGATCTGGTTCGAATCGATTATCAAAGAGGTAGATGGAGATGGGTTTTTCAAGGGTTTAAGCGGGTCGACATGGAATCCAGGAAAGGATCGATGATATACATATAGCCATTAAGTGATGGCCGGAAAATGATTTCCTGCGGTGGTGGCGGAGGTGGAAGTGGAAGGGAGGAGTGGAGGACAGGACGGAGCGGTTAACAAGCAACTGGGGGAGGAAAAATAAATGGAATGGAATAAGGAGCTGGGGGAGGCATGGATTGTCCTGTAGCCATTAGAGACTGTCCGGGACCGGCAGTTGGGGAGAGAGAGAGGAGACTGAAGAAGTGAAGAGAGAGAGCACCTGGTTTTCTGACTGTGATATCGATGACGATGAAGCGGCGACCGGCGAGCACATAGAATGGAGAGAAATGAGGGATTTCAGGGAACTAATAAGAGAAAGTAAACCAATGAGAGATAGACACCTGGGTATCTTTTTTTCAATCAGTTTGAAAAATGGGTCAAGTCCGATTGATTGGAATGTTTAGTGGTGGGTTCCCAACAATTTTTCAAATCGGACTGATTGAGAGGAGAGCTCAGGTGAGGTCGAGTTGGTGGAGTAAGATGATTGGATTTGGAGAGGTGTAATGAAAATAATGTAATGAATGGGTGGAGTATGGCGTGTGGGGGCAGCTAACCATGGGTTTGGGGTTTTGGCTTGTAGTTATAACCGTCAGTCTGCTTTTTTCAGTTGATGGACCCACTTCGAGGGTAAATTTTTAAGGAAGAAGAGGGCCCAGCCCATTTGATCGTTTGGTTTTGGTGACAGGGCTTTGCTTCGCTCCTACCATAACCCGACCATCTCAATACAAAAACCTGAAGTTTCTAACAATCATAAAAACGTTCTCTATAATTTTATTTTAATAAATATTTTCTCTGAATTTTTCAAAAATTCAACAAAAACCTTTTTTTCATCGTCATCCTAGACAAAAATGTTAAACTGATGTATCAGTTTTTTTCAATACCTATTCTACCCTTTTATAGATTATTTTACATCAAAATTACTGAAATAATCCAATTTTAATTCAACAAAAATACATATTTCAGTAATTTTGTATGTAAAATTACTGAAATGAATGTTAAAGGAGGTTTTTATTAAATTAAAACTGAGTTATTTAAAAAAAAATTGTATGTAAAATAATTTATAAATGGGTAAAATGGGTATTTAGAAAAAAACTGGTACATCAGTCTAACATTTTCCATCTAGGACAAAGATGAAAGAAAGGCTTTTGTTGAATTTCTCAGAAGTTAAAAGATGTCAAATATTAAAATAAAACTCTAGGGAAAGTTTTTATGATTGTGAGAAATTTCAGAAAAAATTCTTGTATTTTATGCTAACTTAAATCTTAAACCTGAACCCTAAATCCTTAAATCTAACCTTAAACCCTAAAATTTAACTGTAAAATGCATTTGGTCTCACAATTTTCTCCCACGGGAAGCCAGTAATTGAAACCAAACTTTTTTTAATTTTCTACGACAAAACTTTTTGATGAAGGAAGATTTGGCCCGACCTCGCAATCACGCCACGTGGCAAAAAACAAGTAGCTCGGCACTTAAAGCAACATACCCAGGGTGCAAACACCAAAGGGAAGAAACCAGTAGTCCGAACTCCCCTCGAGGAGACTGAACTCCCTTTGAGGAGCCCGAACTCCCTACGAGGAGCCCGACCTCCCTACTAAGAGCTCGAACTCCCTACGAGGAGTTTTAACCCCGAGCCACACAAAGCAGTGACCCGAACTGGCCCGCCTCATGGCAGTTCGGGACACTCCCCTATCCGAACTCAAGACTTCGCCTTGCACACCGCCCCAGCACTTCGCCTCCAGAACACCGTACCTGACACTGAAGGAGTCCGTATCTAGGGGTGGCACACCTGATTGACTTGGGATCTGACGCTTGACAGCCGCACTTCAACAGCCACCTGCCACCGTCACCTGCCACCGCCATCTCCAGTTACAGAGACGGCTCCAACAAAAAGAGCAGTG